GCCACGCCTGCCTTTCCCCTCGCCCACTGCCCACACCCCCGCGTCCTGACCCCCTCTCCCTCCTCTTGCAGTCAAGTTCAGCAACTGTCTGGGGACCGAGGGGACGCAGTATGAGACCAGCAGCATGGACTTCAGAGTCGGGGCAGACGGGACGATCTTCGCCGCCCGGGAACTGTGGATCCCCGCTGAGGAGGTGGCCTTCACTGTGACCGCGTGGGACCGCCAGATGGCGCAGCGATGGGACGCCCTGGTGCGGCTGCTGGTGGCCCAGACCTCGTCCCCCCGCTCTGGACACAAGGTAAGGTGGGCCGCCGCGGCAGCATGGTGCATGCCTTTCCTCCTCAGGCCCCTGTACCCTGCAAAGGCCCCGGAAGACAGGCCACCCCGGTGGCTGGGTCAGCAGGAGGGGCCTCAGAAGAAGGGGTGGGGGGGGGCAGAAGGAGGGAGAAGACAGGGAGGGAGGCAGGGAGGAGACGGAGGAAAAGATGGAGCGACATTCACCACCCTCCCTCTGACTTCACTTCCCCCAACGTGCCTGCAGGGCCTGTCTCTGTAGATGGGAGTGGGGTGAATTCACCCTCCCCTGTTCCTAAAAGGCCTCTCTCATTGCTACATTGCCTAGCAACCCATGGCCAGCCCCCCAAATCCTCAATGTTAGGGTTCACGTGTCCAAGGGAGCCAGGGCTTAGTCCTTTACCGCTGGTCCCATGTTCGGCTGCTGCATCGGCCTTGGGTGTGGGGGCTGCGGGGCCAGCAGGGAAGTCCCAGCCCTGCTGCTCCTGGCCTCCTGCCCCAGGGACAGCTGGTGGGGGAGAAAGTACGTGAGGCCCCTGACAGCCCACGAGAGGCCTGTGCGGTGCGTGTCATCGGGACTGCATGTGTGGCTCGTTAGCAAAGGAGCACCCGGGTGAAGCAGTGCAAGGCGACCTTGGTGGCGTTCACAGCTCCTTCAGAAGAGGGCCCGTGGGCAGTAAAGGGTTAAACCACACTGACCAGCATCCTTTCTATCGACTTGCCCAAAACCTTATGCAAACCTGTTGTCTGGACCTCACTGGGACAGTCTGCAAGTTTCCCCAAATCTCTTGGCCACGGAACCCTTTTCATGGAATTTTTGGCAAGAGAGGGGTTCCAGGGAACCCACTTTAGGAAAATGGGGTCTGCGTCTTGTTTTTAGAGGTGGTTGCAAAAGAGAACGTTGTGACTCAGGTGGCAGCGTTCTCATTGGTGAGCTGACCCCACGGGGAGGGACACCTCGAGCGCCTTGAACCAGGTGTCCCCAAGGCAAGGGCCTCGACCTGTGGTGACGAAAACCAGGTCCGATGGTTTTCCTCTCTCCTGAGTGGTTATCACAAGCCGTGTCCTGAAGAAAAGGCAGTGAGCAAGGCCAGCCCCGGGGCAGCCCCGGGGACACTGTCCCATGCAGGGCCCTCCCTGCGGGGGGCGGGGACAGGGGCTGAAGGACAGGAGAGCGGTAGTAAGCTGCCATCCCTGACTCTGGTGCAGACCCCGTGTGCCTCCTGAGCAAAGAGCAGGCTCCTTTAAGCCTCAGATAAAAGGCACTAATTGAGAACATGCCCCTTGTTAGGCATGTTAATGAGAGACTGATGCGGTCAGCCCCTGGTCCTCCGTGGAAGGTGGATGCGATTAGTCCCCGTAGGAGTGCACCGCCAGCCCAGGCTCGTCTGGCAGAACAGGACACGGAATCCGTGCCCCAGGCTCGGAGCATCTGTGGGGCTGCACACCCACGTGTGTGAACTGTGACAAGAGACAGCGGGCAGTCTGCAGCCCACCGACCGGGCCTGGTCCCAGTCTCGTCACCTGCATGGCTTCCTTTTTCCTTTAACTCCGAACCCAAAGCAGCCTGGCCTGACTTCCGGATGTCACACAGACCCTGCTCTATGTGGCATCGTCTCTCCTAACCCTCACGTGTCCACAGTGGGCACTGCAGACAGAGAAACTGAGCCGTGTGACTGCAGCCCCTTTGCTACATGGGAGAAGCGATATTCTAGAGAGGAGTGAAAAGTGGATGTTAGCCGAAACCAGTTTGGCTCAGTGGATAGAGCGTCGGCCTGCGTACTGAAGGGTCCCGGGTTCAATTCCGGTCAAGGGCATGTACCTGGGTTGTGGGCACTTCCCCAGTGGGAGATGTGCAGGAGGCCGCTGATCGATGTTTCTCTCTCATCGATGTTTCTAATTCTTTATCTCTCTCCCTTCCTCTCTGTTAAAAATCAATAAAATATATTTTTTTTAAAAAAAGAAAAGTGGATGTTAGTGCAGCGAAGCCCCATTATGGAGGGGCCTGCCTGCCTGGCTGTGGGTTTGAACCAGGGCTTCTCCAACTTACTGGCTGACAAGGCAGAAAATCATATCTAAACATTGATGTCAAGAAATTATGAAAAGAACAGGAAATGAAACACAAAGTAGAAAGAAGGAAACAGAAAAACCAAGAGGAGAGAATATATAGACAGAATCAACAGACAAAACCTGGCTCTATAAACTGCTAAGCCAAGCCCTGGCCGGTGGCTCAGTTGCTTGGAGCATTGTCCCGTACACCAAAAGGTTACAGGTTCAATCCCCAATCAGGGCACCTGCCCAGATTGAGTGTTTGAGTTCCAGTCAGGGCACATATAACCGATCAATGTTTCTCTCTCACGTCGATGTTTCTCTCTCCCTTCCTCTCTCTCTTAAAAAAAAGCAAACAATAAAAGCATATCTTCAAGCGAGGATTACAATAAAATAAACTACTAACCCAATCGGGTTGTATAAGAAAAAAGAAATTGCAAATTATCCTAATCAGGAATGAAAAGAGGGCACTGTGACCAATGTCATAAACTATAAAGAGCATTTGAGGATATTATGTATGATCTGTGCCAACCTTTTGAAAACACACATGAAACGGATAACATTCTAGAAATATATAGGTCACCAAAACTAGCATGAGAAGGAAATCTGCACTGTTTATTATTCCAAACAAAATTTAAATTAAAATCCTTATCATAAAGAAATGCCCACACCATCATGGCTCCACTGGTAAATCCTACCTAAGCCTTAAAGAGCAATTGAAATTAATCCTGTACACATTGTCCAGAGAGCCGAGCAAGAGGAGTCATTCCCCAAACAAGCAAGCACCATGTCCAAACCACCACGAGCTCTCCTCAGAGCCAGCAAGAGCTGTGTCCAGAACCAGCCAAAACCTTGAAAGAACAGCAGGGAGGTCATTATAGGCCAGCCTGCTCACAAGTAGATGGGAAAAAAAAATACCTAAACAAAATATTAACAAACGAATCCAGCCATGTATACATAACATAAGCCACAGCCACACCAGTGTGTCCAAGAATGCAAGGTTGTTTAACATGTGGAAGTTAGTCCATGTAATTCAATACAGAGTAAAGTGCATAGTGATTGTAAAATTTCACCTTCATTCAGGATGAAATATTCAGCCAATTAGAGAAAGAAAGGACTGTCCTTAATGCTGTAAAGGGTGTCTACGAAAAGCAGAGAGCAAACCTCCAGTCTACTTTTGGAATAGCCAAAGCCTTCCTTGATATTGGAAAGAGGACAGGGTCATTCCTACATCACATGCTGGGGGTTCAAGCCAAGGTTAGGCAAGAAAAGGAGATCAAAATAAATAGAACTGACATTTGTAGCTGATATGATGTGACTGAAGATCTGGAAGAACCTGTAGGTAGCACGCTGCAGTCAATGAGAGAGGGTAGCAAGGATGGAAAAGCCATCCTCCCTCTACAGACTGGAATAAATCATCAGAAAATGAAATTTGAGCCAGATATGAATTACGAAAGTATAGAAATGGTCATGTAACTAGAAGTAAACCTAACAAAACTGTTCAAGACCCTTCCATATTATTGAGAACAATTAAAGAACCCTTTAAAAGAGAGGGGTGTGCTACTCAGCAAGTTTCGTGTTGTGGGAATGCTGGTTCTACCCAAAGGTTTCTGCCGACTCAGCACACTCCCAGCATGGTTTTTGCTTGTTCGTAGGAGGTTAACAAGCTGACTTTACATTTTTTTAAAGGGAATGCAAAGGCCAAGAATGGCCTAGAATAACAGGAACACGGGACTTGGGCATCAAGACACAGTAGTAGACCCTGCCAAGCTTCTCAGCCTCACGCTGTTGGCATTTGGGACTGCCCTGCACTGTAGGGTGTTGCCAGCAACCCTGGCCTCCACCCCCTGGAGGCCAGGAGCACCCACACCACCCCATATGCAGCCAATGCAATCTCCAGTCATCGATTGCAGCGTTGCCCCCTGTGGCAGAACCTCTGAACTGTTAGAGCTAAAATGGTATGGTTTGGGCGCAAAGAGGGTCAGATGGACAAATGGAACAGAAGAGCAAGCCCAAAGTGGCGAATTCTGTCACACACACATGCTGAAGACCCTTGGCTTTTGTAGGAGTACCAGAGGTCAGCCAGCCAGGCTAAGAATGGTTCCTACGATTTATGTGGTTGTAAAAGTGTTGTATTAATAGCCTTGGTTTTGCTCCTTGGTCCCCAATGCCTAAAATCTTTAACTCTCTGGCCCTTTAACAAAACGTTTGCCAAGCCCTACTTTGAATAGGGTGGGAGGACTGTCTTTCTTTCAATACTGACGCTGGGCCCACGGCGCCTCCCACGCACACCCCGCCACCAGCTCCCCGTGGACTGTGAATCTACGTGAGCTAGACAAGGCGAGACGACTGGCAGAGCATGTGAGGAGGATGTCGTGGGGCCGCCTTCTCACACCTCTGCTCACCAAAGCAGCCTCTTAAGAAAGTGAAATGTTGAGCCTGGGGCTGGGAGAGGGTATTTCTGACACCTGACAACTAAGGACGCACATCCGAGTGCACAGAGGATGTCAGTCACCGGGTGAAGGAGGAGAGCCAGGCTCGGCCAGTGTGGCCGCATCAGCCTCGCGAGGCAAGGCCGACCCGGGCTCCACACCGAGAGTGATAGCACCCATATGGGTGAGGACGGGTGCCGTTGGCATTTTCCTGCACTCACGTGGGGGTGTATTTTGGTGCAATGTCTTTAGACCCTGATGCGGCGTGCTCACTCAGTTGAACATACGTGTACTCAAGTAAAAGGAAACCACTTCCTCTACTCACAGCACATCCGACACCGGAGGGAAGAGCTCTCTGCCTGAGCTGCTCTCCAGCTTCAGACACAGCTGGGGGTCCTACCACGCAGACCCCAGGTTCGGGGTCCAATCCCCGTCCCAAGCAGTAGCAATATGAGGGAGTGTCCTCGACACACATGAGGGGAGAAGGCAGACGCCAGGCAGGACACGCACACTGTGTGACTGC